GTTAAGAAAAATTAGTGACAACTTATTTTCAAATTATTGTTACCTAGTATTTACTTTAAATATGCACATTTGTAGAGTCGGTATGAAATATGGAACGAGAGTAGATTGTAAAGTAGCAATATTTGCAGATTCTATCTCTGACACTTACTGACTTGAGATGTTGGTCACATTACTTCTGTGACCCTTTGTTTCCTTACATAAATATCGAGATAAAGCACATCTGCCTTTAATATGAGGACAATGTAATGTATACACTGCCTGGCTCTTAGGGTGTGTTCAGCCCATTTTAGCACCTCCCTTCCTTCCCACTAGAGCCTCCCTTTCCCATCTGCCCCCAAATGAGTCCATTTTAATATGTTTTAATTTGGCCAAAGACTACCATATATTCTTATGTATCAGTCAATCAGAATAAAGGGTAAAATTCTTGGATAAAAAAAAGAGGTTCCAATTATATCTTTGCATAGTATGTCAGAACTTACCTGGGCTTAAAAGAAACGAAGGGAAGAGCCCTGTTGCTTGTCACCTACCTGGCAGCAGTTAGTTCAGGTCCCAGAAAGACCTGCCAATTAGCAACAGCAAAGACTCTGTGAACTTATGTTAGAGTCAGATTGTACTTGAAGCAGCTATTGCTCCCGTTAGAAAAAGCTGAAGATCCTGTTTAGGCTAACTCTTAGTCACCTCAACTATCCCATTTCAGCTCAGTGACTGTGTAAATTCTAGCTCTTATTTCAACCTTGTCTTTTTTAACTCCTATCAGTGAATGCACAGCACCACTAGCGGGCAGTGAGGAAATACAAGGAAATGTCCTAGGACTATGGATCAGACATTGGAAAAATATGAATGTGATGACCCATGGACCTAAGTTACCTAGATACTCCCAGACACATCCTGAAATAGCCCGAATTTTGACAGTGTATGCTACTTAATTATTATCCCATCAATAGCCCCAACCAAATCACAAAAACATTATTTCTTTACTATTCCACATTAACTCTGTGGTTACTTAAACCTTGATTTTATGGTGAGGCGCAGTGACTCAGGCCTTTAATCTCAGCACTCTTGGGAGGTGGAGGCAGGAAAATCACCTTAGCTCAGGAGTTTAAGACCAGCCTGAGCACATCAAAAGCCCCATCTCTACTAAAAATAGAAAAACTAGCCCAGTATTTCAGTGGGTAAGCACCTGTAGTTCCAGTTACTTAGGAGGCTGAGGAGGGAGGATGGCTTGAGCCCAAGAATCTGAGGGTGCTGTGAGCTATGATGCTACGGCAATCTAGCCTGGGGACACAGAGTGAGACTCTGTCTCAAAAAATAAATAAACAAGTAAACACTGATTTATGCACTATATCATTTTTATATACATAATTTCAAAAAAGGAACTGGCAATTTGATTATTATACACATACACATATATATGCTGTATAATCAAATAATCACATATGTGCAATTACAATGAATCAACTGAAAAAAAGTGAATTGGCAAGGAGAATCCAGCCTATTTGAAATCTTTCGTTTGAACTAGATTCTACCCTACAATCTAGTCATCATTTCCTTCTGTTTTTTAATCAACTCTTCAACTAACACGTCGGCCTCTCTTAATTCATTCTGGATTTTCTCATGAACTCTCTTTTCTCATTCTTTTTCCTCCTTCCTTTTAATAATCTTATGAAAGGTGACTTATTCTCCATTCTGATTCTACTCCTTTTTGCCTTTTTATTTCTCTCTCAAATTGACAGAGCCCCTTCATTCTTCACAGTCTACCTATATTTCCCTCCCCCATTAGGAATTACCATAAAGTGCTTTGTCCAAAGAGTCATGCCTATGAGACACTGATTCACCCAGAGCATTTGCAGGTCAAATTTTCTGACTAGAGGCAGGCTCAGTGCAGCAGAGACCTACTCCAAATTTGGACAGGAGGCATTTGTTAAGTTTAAAAATAACATAAGTCTCTAAAATTATATACTTTCTCAATTCATAGGCAAAAAGAAAGGACTTTGTTTCTTGTCTAAACCCTCTCTGTCATTTCCAGATGTTCACTCTCAGATTCGCCTTCACACTCTTTTTATTCATTTTGGTGGTGGTGCCATTGTAAAAGCAACATCTGAGGCTTTGAAACTGTGGGGCTCTCCCTCTCCTACAGCAAGATGACTGTGCAGCTCCATTCACCTTAAAGGGGACAAACCTCCCCATGCTCTTCATTTCAATGATGCTATTTAGTCAAACTGAGTGGCTTCTACATTTTGAAGTATCAACTGACATCAACTATGACATAGGTAGTACAAGCCAATTAACTGCCTAATGACCACACACTCCCTTCCTAAAGAAGCTGCCTTCTTGCCAGGCTGAAGTCTTGCATGTAGAATTAATGAGCAGGACTTTCATGTTAAGAAGAGAGCTGGCTGCTAATACTGACACCTGCAGTGTTCAATGCATCCTACTTCTCTCAGAGGCTAAAGTGCAGAACTATCATGAGCAGCAGACCTTGAAGGATTTAATGTATGTCTATGATTTCCTTTTAAAAGAGCAGATGTAAAGAAAACTGTGTCAGTTTCACAACTGTGCGTACATTTCAAAAGCTCTGCCTTTCATACCAAGAAATAAGGCTTACCCAGGATACTCAGGAGGTAATATTCTCAATATAAAGGGGGGGGGGGAGCACAAATTAGAAGTCCTGCCTCTACCCACTTTCCTTTCCTCAATTTCTTCCATATCTGTTATTAACCAAGCAAGAAATCTAAGAGGCAGCTTTAATTTCTCCTTTTTTATTTCTCTTCATGATTATATTGGTACTTGTTTCTATAGGAGGGCTTGCATTATATTCCTTGCCAATGGTTTTATACATTTCCTTAAAGTTTGCAGGGAATTGCTGAAGGAGAAGGACAGTCTACTCACTTTCCTATAGCAAATGAGTTAGCGGGATCAAGACATGAGACAGAGAAACTGGTCTAGTTTCCACTTAGAACACCAGGCCTGTTGCCAGGACCCTGGTTAGAAAGATGGTAACCAAACTGCACCAAGTTGAGAAGGGGGTGGACATGTTTAAAAAAACACCAAAATGCAGATGAAATCACAGCATCCTGGAGACTAGATGTGGGAGCTAAAGAAGTGCCTGGGATCAAAGAATGATCCCTAGACTCTCAATAGGACAATTCATGGGTAATTGTGTGAGTCACTGATATGGAAAATGAAAGAAATTGAAGAGGGAAAATAATGCATTCAGATTCGCTAATGTGGTGGCATGGAGAGGATATAGTTGTAAAAAATCATAGAGTTCTGTTCCATTTCATTCATAAATCACAAACCACTATCACTATCAATAGTAATAAGCATGTGTAAGTAATTGTGTGATGTACCAAAGGTATACAGATATTTAAAAAATAATTCCTATCTGAAAAGAGTTTAGCATCAGAGAAGCTTGTTAGGATACACACATATGTAGTTGGAAATACATGAAGGATCTACAAAGTGCCAAAAGGGTAGTTGGGTAATAAATTTCAGAAGCGCCAAAAATATACTTTTCCAGCCTTATTTCTGCTTTTAAAGAGTCTCTATGCTCCAGCTAAATTATTGTGTTCATTATTGTTTAGTTACCCTAAATTTTCTTATCTCCATACCTTGTTTTAATCTGGTTTCTCTGCCTACTAGTCTTTGCTTTGTAAAATCCTCCTCCATTTTCAAATGATATCTGAAAATATAAATCCTTCCTGTCCTATTAATCAAAAAATTATATGGCTCTCTATGAAGTCCTGTATTTTCACAGTTCTATTGAAATTTTTACCCAGTCTGCATTTTACTTATTTTGGCATATCTTGTATCATTCATACCTACTCCCCACACCTAGAGGCTTGGTTTCATATAATGGAGCTTATCTAGTCCAGTTCACCCAAATTTCCATCACTTGCAATGCCACAGTGCTTAATATATGCATGTGCGTGTGTTTAATGTACTGAGTGGACCTGAAGAAAATCTGAAACAGCGAATAGGACAATTCATGGGTAGGATCAATAGGATTAATTAATTAATACAGTAGGATCAATTCAATGATCAGCATATAAGAAAACATTTCAAAATTATACTGTACAATCTCAATTTCCCATAATACCTATCTGTAGATTGATTAGAACTTACTCTTTTGGGAGCAAACATATTAGGCATACATGGCAGGTTGTAATTTATATCTGGCAGAATATGTAAAATCTGTACATGATACAATGCATATGCAGTGTTAAGAGCCAATCATTACCCATTCAGTTACAATCATAACCGCTCACCCCTGGTTAAAATGTAATTTTCACACAGAACCCATGGATGAAAAGAAACACATATGCATTCACATGTTCATCCCTTTATTATCTTTCCTCATCTAAAATTATCTACAGAGCCATGAAAGCCGTTTGTTATTTTCAACACAGCAGCCTGTTCTGACTCTTCCTCTTATGACTGAGAATAGTGCACTGTTAGATGATGTACTCACTCATTGCTGTGGAAGAATTTTATTCTTACTAGCAACTCGAAGCTTGAAGAAATATTTATAGGAAAGGAAAATACTCAAAGCTCCAAATAAGAATGCTCTTAGAGCTGGCTTTAGATTACCTAGAGGGCATAACTGTTAATCTTTCACATATTATAGATGTTATTTGTTCATGTCTAGGAAGTGTCTTGGTAGACATGTCCATTGCAATTTTTAGGAGTTCTGTTGATGACACAAGTTAATTGAAGCCAATGTGGATTTTTCTTGATTCCTTGGGATTTATTTATCTTAGTCCTGATATGCAAAGGTAGCTCTAGAGTTTCTTAGTGTGAGGAACTTAGGAACAACAATATGGGTGACAGCAGGTGCAGTGGAACATGCAGCTGCGTTTGCATCGGAAGCTTCCTCTTCTTACTTACATGTATTTTATCCAGGTTGTCCTGGGATATTGATCCCCTTCCAGTCAAATAGAAATGGAAAGCCTATAGTCTATATTAGCAATATATTAATTGAAGTATGTTACTTTTATATTTTTCTAGGACAAAGATAGATCTTCAAAAATCAAAATGGGGTTCAGATTCACACGTCGACTCCTTACACTGTTCATTCTTCTAAATGTAAGTAACACAAAATTGTTCTAAGCCATGCTAATTAAGAATGCTGAATAAGGAGGAATGTTCTGAGTGTGCTTGAACTGGCATTTTTGCAAGGGCAGGCATGGTGCTCCAGAAGCCAAAACTAAGTTCCTCAAGACCTTTCTTTTTTTTTTAATATTTTGTTGACAAAGCTTAATAATTTCAATAATTTAGTGTTATGGTTTATCCAAAAATGTGAGCTTTGTTTCTTGACAAAGTTTTAGCATGAACTAGAGATATCTTCATATTATCTTAGAAATTAACATAATAGGTTAATAACATTCTCAGATAAAATGGATTTCATGTTTGACATGTATATTTGAATCATATTTTCTGGGCTGTTTAATGGTTTTAAAACATCAAAACTCTTTCCATCAGCCTTGTTATTGATTTCAAATGTATTTTTCATCACAAACTAAGAATCTCGAAGTCTTATATACCGCTGTCACGTTCAAAACTTTCCAGCCTTTCAGATCATGTTCAATTTATGTATTTTATATTGTTTTATTTATTTTATATTGTTTTATTCCTAAAGAAATTAACAAGTATCTGGTAATGTAATCATCTTAGAAAACACTATTCATGCCTATTTATTTATGTCAACATTCTTAACCCACCATCGCATCAGCTTCAACAGCACATGAAAGGGAGAGGAGAAAACTTCACATAAATCATTTTGAAGTTGTCTTGCTCCTTTTCTTACCACACCAGAATTACATTCACCAATGAATCCCAGCTGGCTATAAACATCATACAGTATCTCATACTGTCACACTGACCCCAAGCAAAGCTTATACAGGGTTCCAAGATTTCCATTGATCATGAATATCCAGAGAGAGGCCTACAAGTCTGCCTACACTGTTTCTCTTTACATTATTCAAGAAAATAAGCAAAGCTTATACAGGGTTCCAAGATTTCCATTGATCGTGAATATCCAGAGAGAGGCCTACAAGTCTGCCTACACTGTTTCTCTTTACATTATTCAAGAAAATATAGACTAGTGTTCCATACATGTCATTTAATTTATAAGAACATTTTTATTTTGTAAAGTTACACATCAAAGAAATGATTTTATGGGAATGATTGTCAATGCAACTCTTTCGCACTTATTTAAATAATGAGAATAGTTTATTTTATTATGTCAGACTGTTATGTATTATTTTAACCTGTTAAATATTTCTGTGGATAAATAGTAGTATAATTTTCAAAAAGCAATCTACTATTTTCAAATGTGAGTTACTTCATGCCACTGGAAATATAATAAAAACACACACAAGAAAATTGCAGAATCTTATGGAACATTTTAATTTGTCTGCAAATGACCAGGCTTAATAAGGTCTTTTATAGATGCAGAAATGTTGTCATATATTATTCATGAATTGATATTGTTAATTTTCATAGCTCAAATTAAATCCTACATGACTAGTTCCAAGTAATTTTGTTTCATAAAGCATGTAATTATATTAGACATACTAGAAGAAAACTAGAGGAACCACTAAACACTAACAAAATAGTTTGAATCTATCTAATTACCTTTTTTACTATAAAGACTACAGATAATTTTTGGTATATTGAAGTAGGCCACTTTATTCAAAACATTTATCTAATATATTCTTCAATTTAAATATTGAAAAATTGCATATTTTGCAGGAGCCATCCACAGAAATATTTTACAGTCTATGGGCATCTCTTTATCAGCAAACATAACTAAACAAAGCACTTAAACAGCTTTATGCTCTCTTTTCTATGACAAAAAGAAATATGCTTTTCTGTCTGTATGATATATATTTGATTTGAAGAATTTGTCCATGAAACGAAATTTGATCTATCAATTTCCTTCAAAACATTCACTATGTTCCACATTGATACTCCTCTGTGAAAAAGTAATTTTTTTAATGATACTTTCTTAATTGATCCAAAACATCACTTTTTAGGTGAGACATTACTGTGAAAAAGAAACTCTTTATGGGATTCTACCAACTTGATTTCCACATGGTCTTTAAAGTATCAATTTGGGCCACCATCTTCCATCAGCTTCTTTCCACTAACCAAAATCACCCATTTACTTCCTTGCCTTTCCCAGAAGCAATACATTTGACCTTAGAATAGTGGCTGGTACACAGTAGGCTCTCAGAAATGATAGGAGGAGGGCAATAACAGCAGCAACAACAACAAAGATCAACAGAAAAACTGGGCTCTTCTGAGAGAACCTGTTTACTTAGCTATGATTACTTATTTGCCTTAAATGTGTGATATATGTAGACATTTTATTGTTTATTTATTGCATAAGTAGACAGTGCAAAGAACACCAACCAAGCATCTGATCCTACCTGTAATAACCAGTTCTAATATTTTACTGAAAAACACAAATAATTTTAACACATATATTGTCAATATTAAGGATGGTGGCATGGAAATCATGTTGGTTACATTGAGGGATTCTGGATTCATATTCTTGGTTCTGCCTTTGGCAATCAAGTAAGCTCTCCCTTGAGCCCAATCGCATGGATCCATACATTCAGTGGACTTGAACTATTGCAGAGAGGGCCCATCTCTCAAAGATACAGACAGAACAGCTCCATAACTATTCTATCTCTGTACTTCTAGAAACTACCTGTAACCTCCAAATAAGTTGATTTTCTTACTTCAAAGTAGGAATTGCCTAAACATATGGCCATTTCAAATTGTTCTCTCTGCACTTCATGGTTATTATAGATAAAATCTTCCAGAATGTAAGCTCTATTAGGGCAGGGTTATTGCCAGTCCTATTTACTGATATTTGCCTAGAACCTAGAACATAGCCTTCCATGTGGAAGACACTCAAAGTACATAGTGGCTGAAAGAACCAGAGATGTTTGGCTGCTGACAACTGCTGTTGGTGGCAGCTTGGTAGCCGTATGTGTGGCGCCATTTACTTGAATCTTTAGAAGTGACATCACATGTACGGCAGCTAATCTGCTACACAGAACAACGAAACGGTTATTTGTTTGCTTGTTTTTTGGTTTTTGTTTTTAAGAAATGCCCCAATGTGTATGTTATTTTTAGGAAGAAAGTAATTGAGATATGCATCTACCACTGGGAAAATTTCATCTTGCTTGAATACGAACCTGACCAGGAACTGTTTGGGGATTATTGCAGCACATCTAACAACAGAAGTTCTAATTTCTCATTCCTTCAGTGTTGAAACAATCTCTACTGAACAAGGCTTCAAAGTAATTCACTGGAGTTTGTTTCAATATTGCAGGACTGGTAAGATGAAGCTACAGTCATCGGCATGAACTGTACCTACTGTTACTCAGATAGTCCTGTCTCCATGGTTATTCCTGTTTGAACTGCATTAAACAAAATGAGGATGTAATTTAAAATACAAATGTAAGATTTTCCACTTGATATTGTTGGACCTACCATTTCCCCATGGCCTCCATGAATTTCCAAATACTGCGGGAATATTCATTAGTTGGTTGTCATCCATACAAAAACAGAATTCAGAATGTTACTTGTGGAAAGAAAGTCAACCTTAAGCAAAATAGTTCCTAACATCTAAAATATTTAGTATTATATAAGATAAGATAATATCAGATAAGATTTGTATATGACATCATACTCCATCTTCTAATTAGATTTGAAGATGGTGAGAAAATAGCCTACAAATTAATATGTCAAATGATAATTCTCATGTCTACCGAAGATTGTAAGAACAGAGACACAGATGAAGAATCTAAAATAAATGCACGAACTGAACAATATCTATTGTGAGGGCACCATGACCCTTCCTTGCTTTAATGATTACATGATAATCAGCTGAATTTACAAAACACAAACACACATTCATACAAATGCAGGGTAATGAAATACAAAAAGGAGCTTCAATGTGGACTTTCTTCAAAATCCTTTTTTTTATTAAGTTTCACTAACTATGTTCCAATTTTTAATAAAATACCTGAGAATTTTATGATTGATAATTCTTTATTGTTCACAATTTCTGGTGTCAAGAAAATATTATTTTATAGCATTGGTGTTTCTTGCTAGACTGTAAGCTCCATGAGAGCAGGCTTCACACTTATTTTATTCCGTACTGTAGCCTCAGCATCTTATACAATAGCTCTTTGAGTTTAATAAATATTTGCTGACTGATCTGCAAACAAGTGGGAAAGAGTTGCACGTCAACAAAATTGTGTTCAGCTACATTGGTAAAGGATTTGCACATTTTTAATCACTTCTGTGGGTTCATTAATTTCTCTTCATCATAAATTCAGGAGGCATTACAATTAGAAATAACCTCAATATTTAAAGAGTAATATCAGCTTTATTTACAACAGATGTCCACTTATACTTATAACAGGAATGTTGTGATGGTGATAAATACACACCCTCTTTGCAAGCAATTTCTACTCCGATGTCTTACTGGAGTCTCCAAAAGAAATCCACAAAGAGAACTTGTCTTCTTTCCCCTTTCAATGTTCTTGTTTTCCAAAACCTTCCCTTTTCAGGGAACTACCACTTTTTTTCAGTTATGTAGGGTCCACAGATTACAGTTGTGGACCTCTGATATCTGCCCTGTGTATTTTACTAAAATTCTCCTTTCACAGCCTTCACTGACCAAAAATCTACAAAATATACTTATTTTATTATCATGTTTTAGTAATATTAGCTAAGGTATATTGAGTCTTTCACACTTTCATTTGTTTTCTTGTTTGCTCTCACAACATCCATATAGGATAGATATTATTATTGTTATTATTAATTATTATTACTATAACTAGTACTATTCTCATTTAAACGTAGACCTAGAAAGGTTTCTAACCTGCTCAAAGTGACCAAAGAAGTCTCAGATTTATTTTACTTTGGCAGGTTGCACTTTGGTTCTCAAAGCTCTGTGTTACCTGACGCTTTGTGACCCCATTTATTACCTTGAATGTGTTTCCCTCAGACAGGACAGTTTCCTCACACTGTCTCATGCTGGCCATTTCCAACTTCCAGACTTGTGTGCATTCCTTTCCCTCTTCAAACACTATATTTACTCAAAGTCCAATTCACATTTTCCCTGGTGTCTTACTGCATTTGCTCCATGCGCTCTGCAAGCTCTGAATTTTCATGTATTCTGTGCTATACATCTCAACATCCAGTGATGTGCTATCACCTAGGACATACACAGTGACATGCGCTTGGAAATGGTGAGAACGCACCCTGATCAGCTGAGGTGTGCACGTCACCTTAAAGGGGATGAGTTTTGTTTAGAGACTGGGACACCCAGAAGAGGCCCACACCACTCCTGTCATCAATACACTTGGGACCACTGATAATTATGCAGACCGGAATAGGCCAGATGAAACTGTTTCAGCTGGTGTGGTAGAGAGCAATCAAGCTATATTCCTAACTGAAGAAGAAGGACAGTCCATGCAGGCTTCAGTTGGTAGGTCTTCTCCAAAAAACAACGAGAAAAAAAATCTTTATGCAAAGCAGATATTTTAAAAAAAACAGAAATGAGCACCACTAAAAACACTGGTCATAGCCACAAAAGAAATTAAAGTGTATATAAATACACGTTAGAAAAGACAGTGTGACAGCCAGTGATCTCTTCACACACAAACACAGACACACACACACATCAACTTGGATAAACAGAGACCTGTGAGAGTGATGGTGCTTAGCTGAAACTACACTAAGGTCAACCTGTATCTAAATATATAAATGTGCAGAGAGAAATATGTAAGAATTACATTGATTTTCATCAGCGAAAATTAATTGCCTGTATATGTCATCTGTTAACAAAGCCAATTTAAAGAGATTAAGGTCAATTATCAGAGGCAGAAAACATATTTAATTTGTTCTATGGAATAAACGGGGCAAATTTCTGGTGCTGTATCCAATCCCAGCACAAACAAAATGTAGCTGAAAGAATTCGATAAACAAAGAGAAATGTTGTAGTTTTTTCATAACATAATTTATGATTTTTAGGAGTAGGGCAAAATTGATATTTTTTGGAAATCGAATTATTTACTTTGTTTGCTTCTGAACTTGACCACGTTCATAAAATTAAAACAATACTAGCTGTTAAGGAGGTGTGTGAATGTGTGTGGCTGCTATCCATTTTCAATAGTGAATGAAAACTAATAAAAATATATATGTGTAGGTCGACTTTGCAAGTGAAATATAAACACACTTTTTAGCTATAAAGCAAAAAAAAAAAAAATTTCCTGGGGACCATGAATAAGTATTGCTTATAGAAGGAAAAATAAATATTTTCTAACATTTTGATTTATTTATGTGCTCACCCATCCCTACTCTCCATAAGTAACTGGGTTGTTTTTTTTTTCTTAATGCAGCACCCAACCCCGGTTCTTCCCTCCACTTCGAATGAGACCGAGCCAACAGAAGAGCCTGAGCCGTATCTGTACGCCGTGGGACGGAAGAAGCTGATGGATGCCCAGTACAGATGCTATGAGCGAATGCAGCAGTTGGCTCCATACCAAGAAAAAGGTAAAGAGAAGGAGAGAGATCAGTGGTTCTCAACCTTCCTAATGCCACAGTGTATTTTCATTGTTAAAAAGAGGTCACGACCCCCAGGTCGAGAACCGCTAACAATGAACATACGTTTGAAACATCATTAAATACTTATTTTCTTTCATGAGTCAATACGTGTTGAGTAATTTTGATTTACTATGCCAGCAGTTTTCACACCATGGCATCCATGTTTGTATATTTTATACAGTGAATATGCATTAATTTCTTTGCTCAAGTTCATCTGACTGCTGTTTGACTAACATCTGCCCTCATGACAAAATTCCTGCAATAACTCAGTATTCACACCTGACAGGCTGGAACAATGCAGGACTAAGTGAAGGAGGGGAGAGGAAAATGACAGAAAAGGGAGTTAGAAAACGGTGGGCAGAGAATCTGCCTGAGGTGGAACCTGTCAAAACCCTGTCTTGCTTGGATTAATTAGGCACTATCTTCCCCTCACTGACAATCGGCTGGCAAACCAATGCCGTTCCTTCTTCCTTTCTACCCCAGTTGCCAGGAGAATTAGAAAAGGATATCTTCTCTACAGACTTTGTTTATCTATTATCTTTTCTAGAATGCTTTATGTTGCTGCCCCAATATTTTCAAGGCTAGGCATATTCTATCAGCTGCAGGGGGCCCAGAGGAAACCAAATGGAGGGATATGATGGCCAATCTTAGCAACTTTCATTTAAATTCTCTTCCCTGTCCCCTAAAACATTTGGAAAAAAAAATTCAATGAGAGCTTATACAATGTTATGCTTCCTATGACAAGCCTATTGGTAGGTTAAAAAAAAATGGTTAAATATGCTGCTTCAACACATGCTTTGCTTTCAAATAAAGTTTTAATTTGTAGTTGATCCACATTATTCTTCTATCTGCAGTAGTTTCAGTGTTTCTCAAGAACTAGACAGGCCTGAGTTGCAACTCTTGACCAGATTTCTCTGAAACGAATGAGAAAATAAAAACACAAAACTGATATTTTCAAAGACCCAAGTGAGTGCAGTTTCTTAGACTATACTATTAGGATGTTGAACTTCTGGTCATTACTTTAAAAGAAAATTGAGAATTTCCTTCAAAGCCTGAGACTCATTCTTTTGAAAAACTTTATAGAAGTAAATCTTCATGTTTTAGGGCAGATTTAATTTTTGAAAACAGCAAGAGAACCCTTGAAGCCAATGTTGATGAATACCTAACATGATCAAAACGGCATTATTTTAGTCAGCAACAAAGTGTAATTCTATAGTAATAGCACTGTTTTTCATTAACTCGCTGCAAGTGCATATCTAACAAGAATTTGGAATAATTGCATAACCTTTGGATTAAGGGGTGAAGTATCCAAGTTCACCCCTTTGAAAGTTAATGGTTATTAGAATGATATGTTCTAAAGCCAATACAGGTTTTTGAAGGCAATCTTTTAACCAAAGGTGAAATTGCAAAAACCTTCACAAGCATTCCTCAGTACCATTTCTGAAAAATATGTCAACGGAAAGCTTTTGAAAAAAAAGATTCCAAGCATATGCTGTGTATGTTTTCAAACACAAATGTGGATTCCACTGGTGTCGGTAGAGGTAATACCTTTATTTGGTTACTATTGCCCCTGCTGCTGCTGTTATTTTCAACATTCACATCCAAGTGGAAATTTCCAGAATAAGAGTTACACAATTATCTGTGCACTATTCAATACCACTCAGAATTCCACAATTTTTGTCAACTTTTGATTATATCTTAATTGTCTACTTTACACCTGAACTACCAAATAGAACATTTAGTTAGGAGGACCATACTGCCAAAGGCAAATTCCCCCACAGAAAATTTAGTTCTCTCTTATCAATTCCTGGAGATTTCATTGTTTCCACATAAATAAATAACTTAAAGAAAAGATTGGTTAGGTGCCACAAGCTGATAAACTTGGCGAAATTGATTCTTTGAGAATATACTCATTCTTAAAATTTATCTCAAGATTTTAAAAAATTAATCAGTGTCATGGATTTTGTTCAAGTAAGGCTTTTCTACTCTATACTCTACCCTATAACTGCTCTTCACATCCTTATGCTGATAATTGTGGAAATTTTCACATTTCTTATAAGAACCACAAAGCCTACTAATAGAAATCTGACTTCCTGGTTGGATATTTTAAAGAAAGATAAAATTTCAGAAAGTAAAAACTTGACATGCCTCAAAACTCATTTGATTAACACCCAATCTGAGATATGTTCTCTCTATGATGAGATTTATGTTCTCATTATAAATAAATAAATGGTAAACAGTCTTTGGACTCCTTGCTTTTTGATAAGCTCAATTATCAAAAACCTTGTACAAAGGCCAGAACCCTGCCTGTCATCCATTGAGATAATCAGACCACAGATATGTGAAGGCTATTTGAAACTTTATTTTCAAAATAAATGACTTTGGCTCATTTGAAATGTGGATGATCATGACTGGACTAATAGGTTCAACTACATCGAAGATCAATCTTCTCCTTCAGTTCATCCACATGGCTTTAAAATTAATTTCTCTCTAAATGGCCAGGTCCATACTGCAACCGCACCTGGGACGGATGGCTGTGCTGGGATGACACCCCGGCTGGAGTGATGTCCTATCAGCTGTGCCCTGATTATTTTCCGGACTTTGATCCAACAGGTAGGGTATTTGTTTTCATTTTATGTTTTTGCTATGAAGCTTCTAGCGTTTTGATGGTTCTAGAAAGAAAATCAGATACAAAATGTATCCACTTAATTATACTCCACATTTTAGCACATTCTGAAACATTTCCTTAATTGAAATGTTGTGCAATTGTACAGATACTTCAAGTTATCCTTATTTTTGAACTGGTCATTTGTGCGCATTGGTATTTGTGAATGTTGTGTCACTTCTGGAAAGTCATATTTTGATGACAAAGTGGGGATGTAAATAAAGAAAGGGGTTTGTGTACAGCCTTAACTCAAACCTACATTCCTGGAAACTGTAACTAAATGCCACATGATGCTAATCCTTTAGGCCTTGATTGACTCTTCCCAATAAATGATGCTTCATTAATCTTGATTTGACAAATACATTAGAGGTAACTTGATTGGCATGAAGAGCTGCTCTGCAATTGAGGCTACGAGGCCACTTCCAAAGCAGCAGTGAGCTCTTGCCAAAGCGGCTATAAATATTGACTAAAACACAAAGATTTGATCAGCAAAACAGATTTTCAGGCATTGATCCATCTTTTCAGCCTGATTTTTAGATAGAACCCTCTCAGCTGGGAAATAAATCCACTTTAAAAGCACATCTTAAAAATATCTATATTTGTCAGACTTAAATTACTTAGGATTTTATTACTGACCTAAAGCTACATCTTCATGGTGCACAAAACTCATTAATGAAATGCCAAAAGTTTTCATTTGGGAAAGGTGCTTGGTGAAAAAGAGACCCATAGTGGAAGAATGCAGAACTTCATTGGGATTCAAAAGAGGCTGACGGTGGGAAGGAAAATGCTAGAGTGTAAAAAACAAAATTTAACGAGGGAGAATTTATAGCCCTGCACTTGGAGTCAAATTATTAAAGTTAATGGCACAGGGCCAGGGTAGTCCAAACACAGGTTAAGGTAGTGATTTTCTTGATAACTCTTTGGAATTGGTGAGCTTTTAAAACATGCTGATGTTTGACCCCTCTCCAGATCAATAGAACTTGAATCTCTAGGGTTAAGGCCTGAAACTCTGTAAAAATTCCTCCATGTGAATCCAAAGTGAGAGAAGCATGCTGTATTTTGGGGGGTCAGTCCATACCAAGTGTACTTTATAGAGAAATGTCAATTTTAAAGCACATGCAGAAAGTCTCCAGGCTGTGAGGGGACGACAAGGTGTGTGGAGCAAGTCACCGGGAGTGTTTGGCTTGGAAAGGCAGTACTCAGAGTAAATATAATCCTTTTTTCGAATATTAAAAGATTTGCCTGGTGAAGAAGGACAAATTCTTGATAGCTGCAACAGTTATCAAGAAATGTCTACATCCAGACTTTAATTAAAACAAACCAAAAAATGGTAGTATTTCCTCTACCATTATCTGTTAAATGAAATAGCTTCTTCAGAATGAACACCTCTCTTCTGCATACAGCGTGCGTCCCCATACATGGCTACACAGGGTCGTTAAAACCAAAATATATTCATTTTGATTTTTACAAAATGGTTCTCTGACAATCTAACAAAGATGAAATGTTGCCATTATAAACCACTTTCTGTTTTTTAAATCCCAAGTATGCTTGGTATGGTCGTCATCAACTAAGAGCATTAGCAAACTCATTGACAAATTTTCAGCATCCATTTTTCTGTGCCGATAGTGCTAACCCTTTTCAGACATCGTTTTGTGTTCAATAGTGAAACTCGAAATAGGTTTTGTCAAGTGGCGCTCTCAGCAAATTTAGTTTCAAATTTTTCTATTTAACTTCGTAACAGATTTATGTAAAGCAGCAATGCTTCTAACAGGTTAGTAAAAAAGTCTTTTGCTTGAAACTTTGTTCATCCACTTTAAATGACCAGAAGCACTGTGGAAGTAAGTATACAATCAAATATGTAACTTGCAGTTTAAATCATGTGTTTCAGTCATACAACGAAAAATGAACATCAGTTAAAAACCGACAAAGATAAAAGGATTTTTGCCCTAGTTCTTCACGGATTGACTAACAGTGATAGAAAGTTATTTCCAATATTATCAACTCCCAGTGATATTTCTACTAAGTATTTTTTAATCATAAGTTGTTTTAGTATTTTTTTTAAACAATGGCAGTGTCCTCCAAACATTGGCACATGATTCTAATATCTACATCCTTGTGCTGTATGAAAAAGAAAATAGCTATATACAAAAGGGTTATCCATAAGTACAACTCTTTGTCTTTGTCAACACAAATGTTTTCCCTAGAAATTATCAAAGATCACATTAGATGAGTACTCCTGATATCCGGGTAGAATGTCTTTTCATATTACACCAATCTTTGCACTTTGATCTCCGAGACAATGAACCCATAGCAAAGTGCTTTGGAGAACGAGAGAATACATGAATAACTCAGATTAAATTTGGCAATTGCATTCATTTTAATGTTTACTTACTCATTATCTCTATTTTATTTAATGCAGTATAAGTTTTTCTTCTACTAGCTTGCCCAATTAGGAAGTTAGAATGTAAAACTACCTTGTAGCCAACACATTATTTATAATTCCTTAGATCAGTGGAACAAATTATATTTAACCTCGAACATTTATGGAATGTTACCTTCTGAAGTCCCAGTACCAAATTAAAATATTACAGACCAGTATCATAATAAAGTGAATTTAAATTCTAATGAAAAATCATTTTCAGTTGTTTGCTAACAATAGTCTGGTTTTAAAATGTGTTCCACCTGCTGGAGCCAATATCTTGATAAATATCATCTCACCTTTCTGACTGCTTTTTACTCATCTCCCTCCTTGATATATATTATTGCGATTGTCAAATTTGCTTTTCTCAAACCCATGTGCTTTACCCTAAAGCTCAGGTACATATCCAATTGATGGGTAAGCAAAATAAAAGAAAGAAAATTTTTATCATTTATTTTTAAAAGAGAGCACTTGATGCAGGATCTGGTACATAGGAAGTTATCAAATGTTTTATTTTCATTATCATAGTTGTTATATTTCAGTGGAAATTTCACCAAAGAGATTCTAAGTCATTCTTATGGGAACTTATTATTTCTATCAAGTTTGGGATGTTACTTTATACAGATACATGGGCACTGCCAAAAACATTTAAAATTTAAAAGAACACCAAGGCTCAGTATTAGCACTGACCATCGCGCAAAAAATAATTTTAAAAAATAAGCATGATGGAAACCACTGGGAACCACAAAGCAGGCACTTGGGCAGGTTGTTCCTCGAGACTCAATTCTTTTCCTACAGAAAACTTTGTGTGTAAACAGATCTCTTAAACTCAGTAAGCAAGCCCAGAATCATTGAGCTGCTGGTGAGAGGGACGGTGAGATGCTAGGCTTTTTCTCCACTTTGCTAAGCATCTATCCCAAAAAGAAGGTTGGCCAATCCAGCATTTTCTTTTATTTCAATGCCAAAGCCAACTTCAAGGTGCCATGCCCTTTATCTTATTTTTTCACCTGCACCCATGTCTTAACACTAAGGGTTTGGCTGTTGCATTTTCCTCTGACCACTAAGCACATTTCCATGGGAGTAAGAGGTTCAATATAGTGCTTCCTAGCCCTGCAATAGCGTTGGGCTCAAGTATAGCTATACTTGATGCCTAGCTTGCTATCTGTGGAAGTGAAATTTCTTTAACTTCTCTGAGCCTCAGTTTCCTTACATGTAAAATGAGAAGAATGATACCCACCTCAACGGGTTGAAATTAATGTTAAAGGAGTCTGGCCCCTTACCAAAGGTGCAGAACTTTACTATTCCCATCCAGCTGAGTCAGCAATTTCGCTAGCACCTAAGAGATATTTAAAGGAGTATAGTAAAGGCTAAAGCTGTGAACCTTAATGTATTTTCTGTGTGATGATGAGAGATGATCAAGTGAAATCTTTTTTGGAAGAAAAACAAAATAAAACAGAAAAATGACTCCTTGATAGATCTCTTAGCATTGGACTTCTTTGTTCTCTTGAATTTAAACATTTGAAATTGGGAACATTTTCCCACTTAATCCACAAAAGCTACAATGTTATACAGTCAACCTGATATGAAAATATTGCATGTAAATGAAGAAAGGTATGGTCATGTTGTTCTCTCACAGTGTTCCTCGATAATCCATAGTTTAATGTCTGTTTAAAAAATGTGAGGTTGAGCGTAGGTAGCACTGTGGGGTCTGATACAAACCCAAGTTTTTGGATTTAAATCCTGGCTCAATCCCAGCAGCTTTTCAACCTTCATTTCCCTTCTTACTGTCTGCTTCCTGTTTGTAGACAGGATTTATAGTCACATTCAGTTTTGATAAAGTCATTAACATGGGGAATGGCTTGTAAGCCTTAAATTTATTATTTTTTCTTCTTGAGATTTTAAGGTATTAATAAAATTCCTGTGTTTCACTAACAGAAAAGGTTACAAAATGGTGTGATGAGAAAGGTTTTTGGTTTAGACATCCTGAGAACAACCGAACCTGGTCCAACTACACTCTGTGCAACGCTTTCACTTCTGAGAAACTGCAGGTAGGTTCTATTTTGCTTTTCAGTATGGAGGAAGAACATCATTGTTTGTACGTGGAAATAGATGCATAACTACCACATATCTGCTACAGAGAAACCAACATATTTTATGGAAAGAAATCAGACAATGGCCCATATATTCTAGGAACTATATGAAGTGGATGGCTTTAGAAAAATAAACATTTCAGTTCTTGGTTGGCACTCAGGGTCAGTGGGCATTCCTTGCGCACATGGAATTGGGCCATTTATGGCAGAGGAAAGAGTGCCCATAGAGCCAACCATGGGATTCCAGAAACTGGGAAGCCCTTCAAGGGAATCTTTAGCTTCTCTATTTTCCTAGAGGAGCTACAAAATTACAAATTTTTCTACAAGTCACACAATCCAATTGTTGCCTTCTCTGTGTTGACTATGACCTTAGTTTTACTATCAGGCATTAGAGGAAGCCATAGCAGGGCTTCTCAGCCCACTGATACAAAGATGGCTGTTTAGATTATATTTAGAGGTTAGTCATTAGTAATTGCATCTTACTAGCTGTTAGTTTTTTTAATGTGATCTCTGCTTAGAAACTCTTTTTTAAGTTAAGGGGGTGTGTGCAAAAAAAAGTTACTCTCTCTTCTTCCAACACATCAGAAATCTGAAAGATCACCCCACAGAACTGGGAGAAACAGTTGGTCAACACTCAGCTGTAGAGGACATTTCTGAGCAACCCTGCTAACTGCAACATAAACCTATTATTTCCTTCCAAGATAAGCCAGTATACTAAATAATTACTAAGTTGGATGTTCAAAGCACATCAAAGCTTTCTTCAGAAGCTTTAGTAGTATAGAACACTTTCCTTGTATTAGAAACAAAGCAAATAACAACAAAACAAACAAAGTGAATAGCTAACTTAAAAACTAGTTGAGTCGAAGGACACCTCACCATAAGCAGGGCTCAGGGGACCAAAGCTAATACCTCTTTACAAATTGCTTAGTGAACCCTGAGAGTCACATGCATGTCTACCCTAGTAGAGAGCTTATCTACTTAATAAATATAAGTAAATGGTGTCATTTTAATATTTAATTTCATATTTAAATTCCTTAAGTGAGAAAGGAATATCCTGAGTGTTGATTATGATGTCACAGAACAAATAGATACCAATGCTAACTACATTACTGTAACTGTGCAAGTCCAAATAGGCAATTCTCAGTGATGCCATGTTTGGCCCCCTCACACACTCTGGTCACATCTCAGAAGGAAATAAAAAACTTCAAGAGAAATGCTCTTCTCTAGGCACCTACTATAGTAACTTTCTCCAAAAATTTCCAAATAAAATGGTCCAAAAAATTGGAAAAGAGAAAAAAGAACATAGAATTTATTTAAAAAAAAAAAAAACAGAACTTCTCAGCCTTGAGAATGACACAGGGATTGCAACTAAATTATGAACTGTTGCACATTTAGACAACTCTATTTCAGAAGAAGAAATAGTTTTCCAGAAAAGAAATACACTGAAAGCAACTGAAAGAATAAGAATTAAATTGTATGAAATGTTGTTCACAACAAAGTGTTCAAAGATTAAAGAAAAAATACGAACAGAGGGTGGGGCAATGGATGAATTAAATATGGTATTTTAAGTAGCAAAAGTATTCCATATACTGAACTATTTAGAAGGAAGAACATTTAGAAGATGCCACTCCTGATTTTGTCTAGTGGTAAAGTTAGAAAAATAGCCAGAATATAAAGTCCTAGGAAAATGACAGGAGGTGAGTGTCTTTTTTTTTTTTTTAATTCCTGGCTCCCACCCAGGAAAGCTCTCTGAGGATTTTATCAACTCTAGTTATAAAGCACCCATTTCATCTTTATTATCATGACCCATAAAGAAAAAAAGTGCTGTTAGGAGAGATATCAACAAAGAAAATGCCAAACAGTACGTCAAGCCTGGTCATATGGTACAACAGGCATAATTTAAGAAAGGCTGATTAGTTCATTTCAAAATTCTAAGGCCTAGAAAGAGACTGTTTCTTTCAGGACAGCAATATTGTGTGTGCAGCCAAACAACAGGCTTTGCCCAATTTGAAAGCATTTTAGCAGAATTAGTGCTTCAATCCCAGACGCTTCATAAGGCAATTGACAAGACCTAAAATGTTCAAGGATACATAAATGGCGCATTTATCATCCTCGGAAGTCAAAGAACTTACAGAAATAATTCAACTTTCAACTTTTCCACGCTACATTTCCATTTGTACCAAGACCCAAGAAAGTATAGGACTTAGACCAGAAGTCAAGAGACAAAAATTCTACTTCAAAATAATACGCAAATTATGCTTCATTAAGAAAAAACAGCAACTGAAAATAAAATCCCTATCCCGACAGATTCAAATCTACTTCAATTGCAAATGACAAAATTGACTAAGTAATACTAAATTCCAAAAGCTAGAGTTAAAATAGCATGAGAGAGAAAGAGAGGCAAAGAGAGAGAAAGGAACGGAGGCAGTGATCGAAAGAAAGGAAAGAGAAGATAGAGATGGATGATTGGATCAGTCTCTCCTTTCTATACAGGCAAATTATTTCATTAAAAAAAAAAGGAAAGATATGATGGTTAGGAAGAAGATGTTATGATTTATACATTTTATAGAGGAAGATATTCTTGTGAGTCAAGTAACAGAATACCATGAGAGAAGAAATCAAACCAACTGAGGTTGTGGGGGAAAAATTAACAAATGTCTATCAAGGAGAAAGGTTTGGGCTTCTTCAACCAACTAAATACTAATGATACAGTTTTAATCCTGGGTTAAACAAAGGCCCAGAAACCTACTGCCACACTCTCTGCTACCTCTGCATATTCCTACTGCTGAACGTCAGGACAGTGAGAAAATAGATTACTATTGTGCCAGTTCTTCAAGGTAGACATATCCACTGTCTGTAAAAAGACCCAACTTGTTAAAAAACCCTCCTGGATTGCCTACTGGGCTAGAGATGATAATTTTTAACACATTTAAAATTACTTCTGAATCATGTTTTTGAATGCTATTCTTTTCATCTCAAGGAATCTTTATTCTTTGGAAATAAGTCAATAGGTCAACTTATTTTCATAAAATAATATGAGTAAAGGTGAAAATAATTTCACTCTCTGAAATATTTTTTATAATTTTAGTAGATTTTTTAAAACTGGAAAAAAATTGTTGATTTACACTTATATTTAGAAATGTAAACTATTTTCCCTCTTCTAAATATTTATTCATTTGTTTAACTTCTCCTTTGTTCCAGAATGCGTATGCTCTGTACTACTTGGCTATTGTGGGTCATTCTGTGTCGATTTTCACCTTGGTGATTTCCCTGGGGATTTTTGTGCTTTTCAGGTAAGTACATTTACAACATCTGCTTTTCCCTTTCTCCTTTAAGTGACTGAAATAAATGGCAAATTCTGCAAAAGTGAAGGTAGAAATTCTACAGGTTACAAAAGACATACAAGTTAGGAGTCATAAAGTAGCACAAAAAATGCCATGAGTTAACCTATGCTTTCTAATCCTATCTTTGAGGAGAACAAGATGGATTTACATCATTTTCAAAGCAAATATGCCGCCTTCTCAAAACAGGACAGTCCTGTGAGCCCATAAGTATACTGATAGTGTAATAAATCTTCTATCATGGATAGCTCTCCGTCAAGTATTGACCTGCTTTTATCCCCACTCTAATATTTGGAGGCCATAGCCACAAGTCTAGATGCACCCTGCCTAATTAGGAGCTAAATCACAAATGGATTTTGCTAGAAGAGGAAAGAAATGAGTGAAGGCATGATAGTGGTTGGCCAGAGAAGGAAAGTAAGTCCTGAATGTTTCTCCTGGCCTTGACTCACTCAACCAAAATTAAGGAGAATCTCTGGAAGAAGATGGCCCACTGGGCAGTGTCCATCCTTTGCCCTTACAAACCAAGCAATGTTAATTAACTGCAATTATCTTCTAAGATGCTGAGGCTGTGTCTCTACGCTTGACTGCTCTATCTATGGCAAAATAGGCTGATGTAGACATTCATTTGATAGTAATGGAGCACTTAAAATATTAATTTGATATTTTCAGGAATGACTTCTATTGTACACGAGAAGGTTCCTAAAATTGGTGTCATTTCTTTAAGTTGGAGGTCTGAGGTACTTACTCCATTGTTCTTTCATGAGACTTCTGACCAACTTCTATGCTCTGGCATGGTATCTCCAGCCACTTACGCTTTTCTACTGTCTTCATCCTACAGTTTGGATTTTCTGTTTTGTTAGGAAGAACGCGATTGATTAGGAAATATCTTAGTACTCTATTCACCACGATGTGGCTGAAATAATAAATTTTGAAGACTTGTTAACATGTGTAAAAATAAGAAATAAACAATGCATCAGAGGATGTCTCTGAAAAACCTAATTTAAACATTGCTTGTCTTTAGGGTTTGTGATGCACAACTAGACCAGAAAACAAAATATTAGAAAATTTACAAGAAACAACTTGAATATTTTAAAGTCCCTTATCATCTTTAGATGAATATAGATAATTGTATATTTAAATTAGAAACTATTATACAAGGTGGCCATAAAGTTTGTGTGCAGTTTAAAACTTTATGGCCATCCTGTATATGCCTTCATCACGGCAGATGTTAGTGAAAATAAATCATTCAGACATAGATAGACCTAAACTGGATTCCCAGAGTATACTCCCAAATATACTTCAGAAAATCGTTACTACGACTACTACAATTATTATTATTATTATTTAAGAGTAAGCCATGTGTGTATTCTTTATAGATGCACCACAGTTCAGTAAACATATTAGAAACTGCGATAAATTAGGCAGACATTTGATACCATTATTATTGCCATCATCATAGTTATTATTGGTATTAGCAATATTGATGGTGGTATTAGATAAATAAGAAAGAAAAGTTCTTTTGTAGGCTCAGATGACAAATAATCCTCCACACTTAAAGGATGTTGTACATAATTAAATAGATAGTGGTTCATATATAGAATTAAGGGAAAAAGTAATACAAATGTATTTATTACCACTGAACTACGCACATAACAATGATAAAGATGGTAAATTTTAAATGTGTACTTTAACCCAATAAAAAATAAATTTTAAAAACAGAATAATAGAATCTTAATTTGATTTTTGTTAAACTATTGCCGTGGCTGTGTTAAAGAAAAACCAAGGGGAAAATAATCACCTGCAAAAATACATCTAGGATTATTTTTTCCTTGATCACTTTTTCTTTGTCTATATCTTAGTTGAGATTCTTGTACTGAATAAGCAATATAAGTGAATAGCAAATTTTTAAAACAGTATAGCAAATGATAGCATAAGTAAACAGAAAAAAAAACCCTTCATAAACTGTTTAACAGGAAAAAAAGACTGATAAGCAAAGCAACAAGACAGGAGATATTAACTACTAGAATTAGAAGAGTACTTTCACTTATAATAGCCAGAATACAGCAGAGTGATCATGTTACATGATTAATCTTGGAATATTTATTCATTGTCCAATTGCACTTTCATATCATGGTGATTAAATACAACATCATGGCTCTCATACAACGTTGATTAAGAAGTCTGTCACTAAAAGTCTATTTTTTTGAGTTTTAAAAATATAATCATAAAGAATAATTAACAGAAATAAATCCCTCAAATATATAATCATGCAACTAATTGTAGTCAGGCCCTTAAAGGTTAAAAAGTGTCAAAGGGGCAGTTCCTTATTCCTTCAGTCCCTTAAATAAATGATGAGATGTGGGAGCCAAATCATCAAGAAAATAAGAATGTTCTTTCAGCTGTCCTATCCAGGGTAAATCACTGAAGATTGTTACGCAAAAGTGCAGCAAGTGTGCAAAATAAAATACTGTTCCATTCCAGTTAGTCCCAAAGCAAAACAGTTCTGATCAAACCCTTGAGAGAATGCGTGGCAATTATCTAAGAGAACCTGACTTTGTCCTTCTATAGTAGAACCTCTGCAAGTTGACCCCTCAAGGGACATAACAAACTGGTCAACCCCGGAAGTGGGCAACCTGAGGAACTAGGCCTGCTGTCCTGATAAGGACATGTGACACATGTCTGGTCTATGACAATTAGGTCATAGAACTTAAAGAAGTGGTCAATGTGGGGAGGTGGTCAACTATGGCGTTTCTACTGTATCTCTCAACACTAAGAACCCACCAAACTGTAACTTAAATCTGAGAAAAAAACAACGCTAATTTATATATAATCTGAATTAATTTATAATCTCCCAACCCACCCCTGATGTAACAGACACCACAGGTAACTGTTGGTCACACCATAGCATTCTGTCCATCTATAGAACAATAATAATAGGAAATAAGCAAGACTTTTGATTGAAAGAGAAACTCTTACAGATGAGGATTTTGTGCTAAATTCAAAGGCATTAAAGTCCCCTGTCAAATAGGAAAGATATATAATGTGTCTGAATTTTTCTAGACGTTTTAATGCAACCACTTTCACATCATTTCATCTCTTCACCTCAGTTCATATGTCTGTCATGAACAGTGTATGACTCCTAGGTAAATGAAAATTTAAAGGTGCACTGGAAGATATGGCTTGGACTGGTACCAATTACAAAAATGATTCCTAACTTATATTATCCCAACCGCCAGTACATTCATAATAACTTTCACTTGTGTCATCATATGCTATTTTTCTTGTTTGTTTTGAATATGACTATAACTACACTACCTTAGAGGAGGGAATACTCCTTTTTTCTTATCCTGTGATATTGACTGATTTACATAATCTCCAAAACTCAAAGTAAATATCAAATGCCTTCTACAACAACTAGTTCCCAAATGAAATGACTTTTTGTTTTAGCTTGAGAGATGACTTCTTGAGATTCATACTCAAGGAAATTATTATCTCTTCCTCGTGTTTGAATGACGTCTTGGTTAGGCCAAGACAGAAGTAGATTATGTTGTCTTGTCCTCCCACTATCAAAGAATCTATAGTACTTATGGTTTCCCATCAGTCAAATAACAAGCAATATTCTGTCCGTCAAAATGTCTTGTCTTTAACCAAGAAAATAAAGTACAGCTAATCTCGGGTTTAAGAATTTCTATCTAAGACATTTCAAATCTGACAGAGAAATATTGTCAGCTTCTCTCATATTCATTTAAGCAGCAGGATATTTATAATGATAATTTTTATGTTAAATTCAGTTAATCCTTTTATGTTAGGTTCCATTATAGTTATTACAATAAGAGTAAATAAACAATTATGTAGTATATAAAGTCCCTAGAGGCAGAAACTATTTGTCCATCAATATATTCCTAGCCTTTACCAGAAGGGCTGATTCATAGTGAGTACACAGTAATATGGTGTTGCATTATTGAATGGATTTTGATAAATTTCAAGTACCTTTAACTCATTTCAAGAAAAGGACTGTAAATGTCATCAAGTGGGTGTAATAAAATTTTTAAAACTCAATAAACCAAAATTATATTGAAATTTTCACGATGACAGAAACTCATATACTAGTCATATTTCTCCTTTGGAGCCTACAGTTTATCTAGTTTTAAACCACCATTTTTCCTATGTTCCCAGTGAGAAATGTATACACGTTTTTATATATATACCCACACATACAGGTCTGACAGTTAGGTTTTTGAACTCATCATAGAAAAAGTGCTACACGACCCCGCATTGCTGAATATCACTACGGTCACCTTCCAAGTACTCCCCTGGGGAAGCTCTGCACTGGCACCAGCACCTAGTCACTCTTCAAATCAATTTTAGAACTCTTTTTCTGGAATGTTAGCAGAGCTGTCATCATATGGCGCACAGAAACACCCAACAGTAATAATGGACACCACTCAGTAAAACACCAACACACATTGACACAAACACGGCTGTGAGACACTCATATACCAAGGTTACAAACTCTTACCAAGTTATTTGTACAGTGCTGCCAATGTAAGCGCATGGTGGCAAGTTCACAAACTTAACTTGTCAGACCTCATGTGATGATAGCCGTGATGGCCATTCCAGAAAGAGTTCCAAAGTTGCTTTGGAGCGTGGAGTAGGTCCTGGGCTGGGGTTGGTGCATAGCTTCCCCAGGGAGTATTTCAAAGATAACCATAGCGATATTCAGCAATGATGTATGTCGCACTTTTCCTAAGATGAGTTCAAAAACTTAACTGTCAGACCTCCTATGTATCTTAGCCAGTGTTGCAAAGAGGGTAACGTTCAATTCGTTAGTTAATACCTAGCTTAAGAATTTGGTACATGATTAATATGATGCAAAGCATGTGCTATGAAATCATCTAGCATTTACTGTAATTCTTTGACGTAAAACTTCGTAGCAATCACATCTCAAAGAAGGAATTTTTTCATACATATGTATTTTTAAATTCAAAATGAGTAGTAAACCCTATCGTGTCAGGCACTGTTCTAGGTGCATAAAATAAATTCCTTTAGCACTTCCATTTTAGTGGGAAAAATGCAGAAAATAACAGGTCATAAAATAAGTGATGAGTGTTCAGAAGAAAAATAAGGCAGGGATACAAGGTGCAGAGAGCAAACTGGAGATGGAGAAAGTATATTTTACTCAGAGCGATTTTGTTTACACAGGAGAATGAAATTAATGAAGTCTTTGAAGCTAATGTTGTACATCAGTGGATTATTGAACTCTACCAATCGAAAGAAAACCAAGCATGAGAATAATGGCACCATATGATACAGTCACTCATACTTCTTAATTCTGGATAATGCCAATTATTGTTGGTCTAAGCCTGGCTAAATCCTGTAATGACACCACCGAAATTTACCCCTCAGTGGGAAGAATTATGAAAAGCTATTATCAATGCATGGAGGGCGGCAGGTCACAGCTTCAACGTGCTAACTGCAGCAGTGGAAAAGAGGAAGGGTTTATGCAGTATACGTGGGAATGTATTACAAGAATTTTTATCTTTAATTCAAACAAACTTGAAATCTACTTTAGTGATATTATAAATCAATTATGTTTATTTTATTTACCGGATTTTTATACTGCTAAATAAAGTAGTCCATAGAAGTATGTGTGTTTGTGTCGGGGAGAGCTCTTCTCTGAACCCCATCTTAAGCAGAGACTGCCTCCTGGATAGAAATGCTGCATTTTACCCTTGCTCAACAAGTGGAAATTTAAAAAACATTATTTACTATTTACTCATGTTTATATTTCCTGAAAATTTGAAAAATGTAGCTAGGACAATCAAAATGTGCCCCAACAGATGCCCTCAACCTTATACCGAAATTGGCTTTTTAATACAGATAATTGACAACTCATTTTTCTTTGAGTTGGAAATATCGGAAAGTATTATCAGCAAACCCAGACCATTTTCATATTTCATCTTTCCTCAAAATTTCCTTTGCAGAGTTCCTGGATTCTAACCTTATTCCAGGAAGATTTTCTTAGGAACTTTTATTGTGATGAGACAGTTGTTGGCATGATTAACTGCCCGTTTTAAGCTTTTGCAAGGAGAGTGACATTATACTAGGTTTTTTTTTACTAGATCAAACCTAGTAAATACAAGATTTTCGTTTGTCCAGAATAATCATTCCAGTTTTATGAGAGTCACGATGTAGGCTTTCGCCCTTGCATCAAAAAAAAAAAAAAAAAAAAATTGATAGAACATTCAAACTAACATTTATGTACATGTGAACCCTCACATCATCGTATGTGTACAAGTTTATGAAGTGAAGGAGAAAGGAATAAAAACCCCAATAGCTGTCTTAGTCCCCAAAAGGTAGGATACGACTATGCTAAGAAACAGCAGCCCTGGAATAGGTCTCATTAGAGGCAAACCACGACTTGCCTCCTGGCGAGAGCTCATTTGAGCCTAGTTAGAACTGTTTCCCTGTGTCTGAGCTCCACCATCAGGAGGGTGTGGAGAAGAACCGCAATGATAATTCCAGTTGAAATATGAGATCTAAGAAGACGTTAACAAAATAATGGAAGAATAATGATGGGATGTGTATGTAACGGTTCAAGGACATAGATTCAATACCTTGCCACCGGCGGCCTTGATGCTGACTTCGCACTCTGTGACCCTGCTGGCCACATATTTTCTGCCAGGATGCAACAATGAACGGGAGACTTTTCATTAGAAGCACATTCCAAACCCTAATGGCTCTCTTCTGAGAGCCCTTCTCGTAATTAATTCTATAGCATTCATTATAATGTAAAATGATTTTATCACTCACGCTTTCGGTTATCATGTAAAGTTACCCTGAGGACCAAAAACTGTGAGCTGCCATGACAAGAAAACTGTTTTTAAAGCTGTTTTGAAAAATCAGGCAGGAAAGTCATAATCAGTCTGAAAGACAGAACTAGCCTCACTTAGTTCTGTAGGTTTCTGTTACTAAAAACAAACAAACATGGAAAATGATGACCAAAGTTTTTTTTTTTCCAAATGTATTTCAACATTTTGGCAGTAGTTAATGCTTCGTGTTATTTTTTTTTTCCAGGAGTCTTGGCTGCCAAAGGGTAACTCTGCACAAGCATATGTTTCTGACTTACATTCTAAATTCTATGATTATCATTGTCCACCTGGTTGAAGTTGTGCCCGATGGAGATCTTGTGCGCAGGGACCCGGTAAGCACAGCATGGTTTGATTTTTTACTCTTATTTTGAAGGATATAGTACCTATAAATGTAGTGTTACTATTTAAGTAGCTAACTAATTAAGCAGTTAATGACTTAAGCAGCTGTTTAGATGTATAATCATATTTAATCCCATAGCTGAGTTTTGCAGTAAGCAGGCATATCATTCCTGTGTAGTTCTTGGAAATAATTGTTATATACTGTGTATAGGCCTTGAAATAATCAAATCTTAAGAATCATACAACACATCATGACTTTTTATGACTAATCAATAATTTATTAACATCTATGGCAAATATACTGTGCATGTCTTAAGATGTAGACAATACCAGGGGCACTCAGGCAGTGCTCCCCAGTGACCCTAGTGTGCCACTCATGGTTACAGCTGTGCCCAGATAATGATCCCCTCATCATTCTGGTATCAGGCTAGGTTTGGCCCAGTCATCTCAGCTACAAGCAGCTATGCACTAATGAGCCATATAAATATTCTCATGTTCTCCATCCCCATGTTTTGAACAAAGTTTCTACTGAAATGAGGGAATGCAAAATTGGGGGGAGATGAGAACAACAGGACATCCGTGAAACTCATGCCCACATGCACTCAAGCAAATGCAATGAGTGTCCTACTTTTATTTGCATAGTATAGAGAATGGAAGAGCTGAAATCATTTAGCTCTCTTACTAAGAACCTTTCTGGATTTATTCTACCAGAATTGCCCTGAGATTTGTTCAGAATAACTCACACTACCTTCAACCTTCTCTCATTATTTCCAAGACAGTATTTTTCACAGTGGTTTCCAACACGGACCATACTTGAAAATCAGCTGGGGAAATTGTGTAAATATGAGATAGCTACTTGTCCACACGATGCCAGAGTTTCAGTAGGTATCAGGTGGAGCTGAAGAACATGCCTCTGTGCTGCCAGCTTTCAAAATCACTGGCCAACTTCTGGGTGAAGCAAACAAGCTGGCAAAGGAGGGCAGAGGAGAAGCCCTCGAAGGCTTTCCTGCTTCACTGATATCGGCCCCAATATTACTATTACTATTACAAATTAACAAAAATCAGAACCGAAGGGGACGTTGGAGCTTATTTATTTCTTACTCCTCAGTTTACAGATGGAATTAGGTACCTGGATGGAGAGGAGAACAAGGACTCAAATCGGGTCTCCTCACCCTCAGAATGTGGTTTTCTCATTGCACCCCGTGCTGTATCTCTAGTAATAAACCTGTGAGAGATTAGCAACCCCAGATTTGTTGACTGGGTGTCCAAACCTATCTGATTGATTTTTCAAAAATCAGTTCCCTTTGGTGCTTTGATACCAAGTAACCCCTTACAGGAGTTTTATGTATCAACCCAGTGTTTAAATAATTTATAATCACAGTTTCTATCAATCGTTATTTTTCCCTAAGTATTTCCCTGCCATCTCCTTTTCAAACCTGCCTTCCTTAATTTTAACAAGCATTTTGCCCATTCATTAGTGGACTGTACTTTAATAAGATGATTCAAAGCAGTTTAACAATGCAATTATTTATTAGATCAAATATAAAATCATCAATATTTGATCACTGTTGTTCTGCTAAATTGATTGAATCTATACGTCTCATCCCAGTATAAATGTATGGCCAATACACTGGGGCTTGTAAGAATGGGGACTATCAACACCCTAGGCCTGAATGAACAAGTGGAAAGAAGATGTAGGAACCTAAAGAGAGAGAAAGGTGGTATGGTGAAGACTGACCTTCAGAAACTCAGGACTTCTACCTTGGGACACAGCTAGCGTGCAGCAATCACACAAAAAGAAGTAGGGAAATAAATATCTCTCCCTCCCTCACTCTCATCTCCTAAACTCTGCCTATGGTCCCCATTAACTGAGCTCAACTGGAAACCAGAGGGCAAGGAAACCCTGATGGAGATGTTCACATCTATTCTGTGGACCCAGGGCACTGGGAGCATGGCAGAAAGTGCATCTGGAATCACAGACAGAAGCTGTCTCGCTCACAGCGAATGGCCAAGGGAGATTTTCATTTGTTTCTCTGCTTGACTGCGTTATGCAAGCATCTGTAGATAGCCTCATCTTTCAAAACTGGCATTTGACGGTTCTGCCAACCCAATAACAAAAATGCGTGAAATCTGCCCACAGCATGCATCCTGCATGACAGTGGCATGGCATGGGAAAGCAGCTTAATTTGGCTCCTAATGGGTCCACGGTGTTAATAATTTTTGCAGCCTGAATATATCCAGAAAAGCACTGTGATCCATTTTTTTAAAACCGTGGCATCTATTACTGAAGACAAAGTCCTGTCTTACTCACCTGCAAAATAATGTGACCAAATGGGTTTAGTTTGATGAATTTTATTTTTAATGTCAGCTGATTTAAATAAAATTAATCTCGTTTAATTTAATTCCCTCAATATCCCAGTGAAAGGTGGCTATTATCTCCATTTTTAAAGCTGAGGAAACTGAGGCTCAGTGAAGGCAAGTGTCATTCATTCACACTGTAAATACTTAGAGATGAGATTCAAACACAGGAGCCACTCGCTCTTCTTAACCGCTTTGTATTCTTGAGTGTCTTCATTTACTTAGGCAAATGTGTTCTTAAAGAAACAGGCTCAGTCATTCCAAAGAAACAACTGTCCAAAATTGGACATTCCCAATTAGAGAAGCTGACCCCCCACTGAGTTTAAAATAGATGGAAAAGCAATTAACAAAGCATCTCTCTGCACATGATAGTCAAAAAGAATAGTCAAATTGTTGGCTTTCCACCACCCATTAAAGGTAGAAATCCTGAAAAAAAACAGTGTGTAGGGAGCAGGCTTGGAAAGGGCACTTCTCTTTTTTTAATAAGCAGTCACATTGACCTTGGAGCACACTCAGTCAAGTTATGAAGTATTGTGAATTCTTGAATAGACTCTTTCTCATCTCTCTCTGGGGGGTCTTCTGCCCCAGCCCCCCAGCTGGTAGTATAAAGAGGGCTTCTCATCTATTGTCGAGATCTTGCTAAATCTGTTATCTTCCTGAAATAGCCTAAATTCAGGCTTTTTCTGAGTTTGCTACTGAATTATAGAAGCCATTTAACCTTGCCCATCCAATGAGAATAACAAAAACACCCTGCTTACTTCCAAGGGGTTGTCCTGGAGTCCCAAGGAAGCCTAAAGCTTTTAAAAGCTCCCAAGAGCATAATACTGCCAGTGATTGCTCACAAGGGTTGCTGTCACTCCTTGCCTTGTGGCTAACTCCCTAGGTCCCCGTACTTGGGCTTTTCCAACAAATCTGTTAGTCTATTCATTGCTCTTAACAATCTCATTCATTATCACCGCTGTATGTTTCCACTTTCATGGGAGGTGGACATGCCCAGACACTGCCAGCCCCAGCAAACAGGCTGCCCCCAGCCACCACCAAGTCGGGCCAGATCTGCTTTGCAGCTCCACTATTGCCTAGAAACCTGAAATAAATGCTGTCAGCAGTTGTCCAGGGACATGGCTCTGCCATGATGCACCTGATTTCCTGGGAGGATGTGAATGTGAGCTTCAGAGGCCCAAAGAAATTAACAGGAAGCTTTCTTCTAGGTGTGGAGTAGTGAGGCTGATTCTGCCACACACATTGGGCATTCTTAATGTAAGTTTGAAAATAAGGAAGGAAGCTTATCTTTACACCATGACTAGCACCTAGTTCTTCAAATCGATATTTTTTTTACCTAACAGACTAGATGTTTTTAGCTATATGAGAATAACTTCCTAGGGAAAAACTATAAAAAACTTGAAAGATAAACTCTCACCCAATCAATGAAGTATTTATTGACAACTCAAAATTCAAATTCTAGTCCTCAGGCTGAACTGAATTCATACTGTCATGGAAAAGTATCTATTTACAACATTTTCTTCTTAGTCCCCAGCAATGAGCCCAGCCTCCCCTGGAAACAGCTTCCTGGGTCTTCCAATCACATATGGGGTCTAGTCAATTTTTACCTATTTCAAAGTGTGAGGTTTTGTGTTTTTTAGTTTTCATGGAAACAAAAAGCAAAAACATCAGAATACTTTTCTCTGTGTGCCTGTCAGAGGAGCTTTCTTTTCTCTGAGGTTAGACAAAATAAAACAAGCCATGAATAACAAGCCACTTACAGAGGTAAACAAGGCGATGTCATAATGTTAGAACTCAGTGTGGCCACTTTCACAACTTCAGATGTCTGGAAACACATGCCTCTCACCAAATACATGTAAGCTGTATAGATTCAAACCAAATAACTAAAATGACAGAAAGTAATTCGTGTTTGTAAATTGTGAAGCAGACACTTCACCCAGAAGTGTAAGAAACTAGGGGTGGGGGGGTTGTTTTAGTATTTTCTTTATTTGAACTTAGTTATTGTTTTCTAGTGAAGTATTTTTTAAATCTCTTATTTAATCCTCCAAATACAACAACATTGGGCTGCTCTTTCTAAGAAAGAAAAATTAGTTCAAGAAAGGGCAGGAAAGAACTCTCAAGTAAACATGTCTTAGACGTTATTCATCCTTGTAAATGCTATGTACTGTCACCGAGAGAGACACACGTGGCTAAATTTCTATTGTGTCTCACCTTGAAAGTGCATATTCTGTCATAAATGTATTCACGGAAGCCCAATTTCTTGAGTGCCTTTTTCCATTCAAAAGATCATTAACGTGGATCATAGCTGAAACTTTAAATTTGGGTATTAAGAAAGAAGAAAGTTCCCCTGTTGTAATACACTTAAATACAGAAGGAATAAACAGAACTAAGAAAGGTTTAACTTCTGTTTTTAAGCTCCATCTTTCCAAAAGGCAGAGTTCTCCACTTCGAAAAAGACTGGCAAAATAGTATCCAAAGGCTGAGAAATGTGCCATCAGCACCAATTAGTCACACACAGAATCATATATTTATGGTTATTTTAGATGGGTTATTTGAAATACTGAATTTTTATTGAAAAACTGACATCTCAGGGCGGTGCCTGTGGCTCAAAGGAGTAAGCGCCGGCCCCATATGC